CTATTCCGAGTGAGCCAAATGAGTCTATCTCCATAAGACTTTATGAGTCTCACTAAGATTCCAAATGACAGCAGTCAGATAATGGTCATTGTAGATAGGTTCTCAAAGTATGTTATGTTCATTCCTTTGCCTGCCGAAGCTAAAACAAAACTGGTCATCCCGAATTTCCAGATGCGATGGGTTTCCGAGTATGGATTCCCGAAAACCATTGTCTCTGACAGGGATATTCAGTTCACTAGTCTACAATGGCAAAAGTTGATGGAAGTCTATGGCACCAGGTTGACCATGTCGTCAGGTAGACATCTTGAAACGAATGGCCAAATTGAATAAATGAACCGTCTGTGCCAACAACTTTTGCGCATGCATGTCCGGCCCGATCAGATAGATTGGCATGAGAACTTACCTAAGATTGCTAGTGCTTCTAATAACAGTATACATACTGTTACATGCAGAATGCCTAATGCACTACATAAAGGTTGGAAGCCTCGGCGTCCCATTCATGCTCTAACTCGGGACCAGATCAGAGGTTACCCCCAGGAACCCGTGAATTTGCAGTTTTGTATGAAGAAGATATTAAAAAGGTAAAAGAAAATATATTGAGCAGGCCAACAAACATCGTCGGCCATCGCAACTTCAAGAAGGAGATTTGGTTTGGGTAAAGTCTAAAGAATTTGCGTTGGAAGAAAACATGTCTCAAAAACTGTTGCCTGTCTACTATGGTCCCTGGGAAGTTCTCAAGGTGATTGGGGATGCAGATAGACCTTCCTATAGAATAGACGTTCCCCCACACCTCAGGACCTATCCTGTCTTCCATGCGTCTAAACTGCTACCCTATGTAGAAGGAGACAATTTTCCTAACAGGCTATTTATGTTTCCACCCTCCATGAAAGGAGGATATGAAGTTGACAAGATTCTGGAACATGGCTATTTCTCTACAAGTGGCAGAGGAAGACCACAAAAGCAATATAAGGTACAGTTCAAGTCTCAACCTCCGTTTGAAGCCAGATGGTTTAGTAAGAAAGAATTCTTACCTACTGCTCCTGACATTGTTGCTGCATAGGAACTTGGGTTAAAAGGAAATTGATGTCTTTTCTGCGATGGAACTCGAAAATTGGGCCGGCAGGAATGCAATAACCAATGCAGTATGCCTCGTGGAATGTCTGAGGGCCTTGTCAGGCTGCACTCAGACCCAGGCTGAAGGGGGAAAAAAAGGGCCTGGACGAGTGACAGTTGACTGAAGTCAACTATCAGACGCCCAACAGTCAAAGTCAAAGTGTACCCAGCCCAGGCCGCCGGTCAGACGCACACACTTATTTGTATGCAAGTACCCAGACGACATCAGGACCAAAGGGAAGACTGCAACTGTATGCAATCCAGCCCTCGACTGTGAGTCAATCTGGACGACTGTGGGTGGGGGACCTGAGGCCAGAGAGCCTCGTCAAATGCTACATATGGCTTGGTCTCCAGGTGGTCAACATTCAGTCTTGCTATGCTGCCTCAACGCTGGCTTGACTCTGGCTGGTCGCTGGCTTGACGCTGGTTGGACGCTGACTTGATGCTGGCTGTGCGCTAGTACTGAGGACGACGACGTGGGACTGTGGTAGCACGCTAGCGCATTCTGTTTTGTGCGCCAAACATTGCTGACGTGGTGCTGCCACCTGTCTACATTGCTGATGTGGCGCATGCCATTTGTCTACATTGCTGATGTGGCGCATGCCACTTGTCTACATTGCTGATGTGGTGCTGCCACCAGTCTACATTACATTGTTGATGTGGCGCTGCCACCTGTCTTCATTGTTGATGTGGCGCATGCCACCTGTCTCCACTGCTGCCGTGGCATTGGCCACGCTGTCTACGTGAGGTGACTGGTTGCGACAAGGAGGGAGATCGGGATCTGTGGATGATTGGGAATTGGTACTCACCTGAGGTTGACGTCGATACCGTGTACTGCTGTTGTCTTCATGGTCTCCATGAGATGATAGTGCCACGTGGCACTTCTGTGTGGTCAGAACTTATCAGACTTGTTACTATATTGCAAGGAAGATGAGCGATAGCGAACTTCAGAAATCAAACAGCATCATACACATAAGACCAGATAGTCGTGACCTCACACCAATAGCAGAATCGCACCACGAGTTTCACCAAATAAGAGCACACCAAAAGCTCGTAATTGACAATGCTGGAATAATCCCATCATCATCAACGAAGAACCAATGTTGATATCCTATCTGGCGCTCGGCGCCTAGACTACGAATGGCAGATCCTATCTAGCCTAGACTACAATGCCGCTTCTGACGTCAACAGCTTCCCAAGTACGAGCAGATCTCGGCCAATGCCGCATGCGTCAAGCACCAGGTATGTCTCTCGTATCACTCACAACCTCGTTCCCCAACTCACAGATGCCACTTGCACCCAAGGACCACCATGCGCCCCATCCAGCATACAGCAGCGCAGCTCAGCTATGGCTGACTGCTCCTTCCAGCTCGCCCGTGAGCACGTGAGCCTGGCCAGCGATAGCGCAGCAGCGCTTGCGCCCAAAGCAGCCAGTGCCCGAATACCCAATGCGAGGGCAGGCCCTTCCCTATATCGAAGTGGCCTGCTGTGGCGTGCAGTCGTGAGGTATTAGGCCCTGGCCCAGAAGCTTCCGGTAGGCCCCACGAGGCTGAGCCTCGGTCCGAAGTAAACAGGCCCAGGGCCTGTGGCGGTTATCAGCACCCAACTGCCCTCAGCCTTTGTTCGGTCCACTTTGTGTATCCGGCCCAGGTCCTGCCTCAGTTACATGCAATGAAAGGCAGCCTGGGCCTGGGCGCTTCCAACCAACTGGCGCTGCACAACTGCCTGAATTTCCCCAGTTGCGTGGTGACCCTAAAATGGCCTGTAGGGCCTCGGTCGTGCCTGCCTTCACTTAGGGCGGCCGACAGTGTGAAAAATAGGCCCTGTAGGGCATATCGAGGCCCTATGCCTCACAATATATTGATTGTTGACGTGGAGGCAAGGGGAAGCCCGGAGAAGGAGTGGGAACGATTGGGCTACTTTTGTGTGGTCACTGATTATCTCTTCGACCCTCTCCTTTGTCTATTCCCCCTCCACTCTCTTCGTCTATTGGTAACGAGATGTTGTATCAGATATCATTTCATGCAAACTGGAGACATTGTGCAGATCTGAGACTACTTGCACTTTGGCGTCTGATGAGTATCTTCCAGTCTGGGTTCATTACATCCGTTAGAATTGGAATGATACAGAGAAGATTAGCATGGCCCCTGCGCTATTCAAAAAAACGATGAAACACACAAAAAAACGAGGGGCTGGGAGAACAGGTAGCAGGCTTAGAGGCAGCAGGACTGGCAGGCAATCCATTCAGTGCGGCAGCCTCGAAACTGGCAGCCTGGAAACTGTTTACAACAGGGAATTGCAATACAGCTGCTGCGAGGATAGGACGTTGCTGGGACGACACAGACTGTCGCTGGGGCTTTTTTTGCTCTGTAACCCGGGTGGGGGCTTGGGTCTGGGGTAGTTCACCGAGGGAGGAAGGTGAAACCAGCTTGTCCAACGAAGCCAGTGCTCGGGCATTGCTCTGTAGCCTGAATGAGTCAGGGGCTTGAGGCTAGGAGGGAGTGGCCGAGGGAGGAAGGCACACCGGTCTCTGCCGTCAGAACGAGGGTGGTCGGAGCTGGGGCAGGTCGTGCTGCCCTGCAACCTTAGTTGATGGAGGGTAAGAGACTGAGTTCTGATGAGGATTGAATGGCCGGACTGAGTCTTGCTTGCTTGTGAAATGGATTGTGCGAAGAACGAGGAGTCCTGCTTTCTTGTTGCTAGTCTCCTTGGTTGGTGGATCTATAGGTAAGTTTTTTACAATAGTAGAATCCAAGCTTTCTTCAGTATTGCAGTCGCTTCACAGCCTCTTGCTGTTTGAAGTGCATATCTATCATTCCTAGCCAAAGCCCGGTAATGGCCCCAGTATCTCAAATTGTTTTGCATATGTTTCTTAATATGTTGAATGGGACGCTGGGCCCGGTTCCCAGCACGTGCTGCTCCCCACGAATAGACTGGAGCTTTGTCCAAAAAAAAAAAAAGAAAAAGGATAGTAAGTTAGTAACCCGTACCAACCAGCGTAGCTCAGTCGAATCCAGATACAGATACAATCAGATGAACAGATTAAATTCATTCTGGTTACCTGGGGCCGGACAGTTCAATGATGGTATCTCAAGGCCGCCGCCCTTTGTTTTTTCAGAAAAAAGGAGGATAGTAAGTATTAGTAACCCATACGTTTGTGCCTGTGTATAACATAGCTTTGGCAGTAAGGTTTGACCTGGTACTTGGTAGGTCTGGCCGAGACTGTACACCAATCCCTATAGTAGTATAGTTAGTTAAATTGTTTGCAATGCTTGTCCTTGAGAGTTTTGGGCTGCATCCACTTGAAATTTTCAGAAAGAAAAAACTCAGCAAAATTATGACAAAAAAAAGGCACGGCAACAAAATTGTACGACACGGCACCAGAGGTCAGAAGTGCAGCACCAAAATCCAACACGTTCGAAACTGAACACGCAGCAAACATAGGGCCTTGCCACACCACTGTCGAAACGAAAAATGAACGAATGCATCTTCCCGCGTACAAGGGCACGATGCATCAGTTACCATGAATAGCAATGGATGCATCCAACCACTTTCTGCGGCAGATGTATTCGCTCTCTTTTCGTTTCCACAGTGGTATGGCGAGGCCCATAGTTGCACATCTAGCCTACTATTTCACAGCCGGGAGGAGAAGAGGAGTGACAAGGAGGAGCTCACTGGAGAGCCCAGACTGCTCAACACTGAGAGGTATTTGCACGAACTCCAGTTAGGTTTCCATTAATGCCTATCGTCTTTCCCGAAATACAACATACGTATTTTTCCCAACTTGAAGGCCAGATGCCGCGAAAATGATGGTGAGTTTGATTCAAGTTAAGACGGTAGTGGGGATTTTGCACCAAAATGATGGGGGCAAAGGACATCAGTACTACCTTGAGAATCTGATTGTCTATGCCATCGTAGAAGGAAAGGTTGGTGATGGCTGCAGCAGCATTCAGAACCAGCTCCTGCAAGAAACAAAGCATTTCATTCATAGTTGCAGCTCAGACATGCGTAGTAGCTCGCGACTCATTGTTTTGGAGTCTGAAGTTTAAACCCAACACCACTCTCTCTCTTTGTGATATAGAGCCTCTGTAGTTCAAATTATGCTTTTTCATTTTCATTTGCACAGTCATAGAGGGTCTGGTTGTTTCCTGACATGGAGAGGTACGTACTAGGGAGGTATTTTGAGAGACGGATATCGCTTAGCCCCCCCCCCCCCCCCCCCGGGAAAAAAAAAACAAACCTAGTACACTAGGTAGTAGGTACAGAAAACAAGAAATCCAACTAAGTGGTTGGAATCCCAGACCACTTTTTGCCTTTTAGAGAGTTTTTAGTAAGCCAGAACTTTTTTTTCTTTTGTTTTTGGGAAGCAATTTAGTCCATATATTTCAAATGAGACAATTGAGGCCGGGAATCCCTCAACAAACAACCCGGTAGGAGAGCCAGGAGAGAGAAAGCATACTTCGTTCTGACATCAGAGAGGTCGGGCGCAGCGCTACCGGGAGCGCTGCGCCCGACTTGCCGGAGGGCGCTTGGCTCAAGCTGGGCGCATTCGTACGACAGTTTTGGCAGCGATCGAAGCGCGGTAGGGTGATGCGGGAGCGGCGGTACGATGACAGGCGATGATGTGGTGGGCGTGTTCGTACGATGCCTTCGGCAGCAGAAGCGATGGCAGGGCAATGCGGGAGTGGTGGTGCGACGACGAGTGAGGGAGTGAGGTGAGTGGCGCTGGACGGATGCTTATGGGGGAGGTGGTGTGCGGTGACACGATGGGCAGTGGTTACAAGATGGGAGGGCGGTGGCGGTAGTCGCGGTGTGGTAAATGGAAGATGGTGTGACGAGGTGGGAAGTTGGAGCATGGGGCGCCTTCGTTTTTGCTGATATAGAATGGGAGGTAGGAATGGGCTGGTTGGGTACAGCAAAAGGAAGTACGTTGGTATTTCGTCTTGAAGCTAGGGTTATGGTTGAAGTGAGTGCCTCCCGCCTTCCTCAGTAGGAGAGTAATAGATTAAGGACACTTGAACCCCCTGTGGTGACTTGCTAACAGGTTTGGTGAGGTGATACCACACTGTCTTTTGATTCCTGGGGGATCGAGGATGGCCATGTATGTCTTCGGTGCTAGTATGCTTTTGAGCCTAAGAGGCTAGCATTGGGAGGAGATGTGTTCTTTCTCCCTTGAAGATGGAGGGGTAGGGTTTGAGGAGGATAAGGTAAGTTGGTGGGTTGAGGAAGTGGGGGAGGAGGGTTATCGATCACTCGAAGGGTGGGTCCGGATTGTATTGCTTTCGCTTGTCACCGATGTTGGTCTGCTTTTATACTCATAAATACTCTTAAATAATCGCGCAATGGATTCATCCTATGAGATCCTTTCTTACCTTTTTTTGATTGCTTTGTTTGAATTTCAATTCGATAGGTAGAATTCTGGTGTTTCAATTTTCAGTTTTTTTATGATCCTTAGTTTGAGCTTCATGATTTAGTTGCTATGATCTGTTCCTTTCCCTAAATCTTATAATAAATTCCGAATAATCATATTTTTTCAGATTTTTGAAATCCACCTGGTGTTTGATCGTCTCGGTTAATTTTCTGCTTCTTAAGTTCGAAAATCGGAATATAATTCCGATAACAAAATTGGATCATCTTGATCAATTAATTCGATTTCGATTTCGATTTCCTAGTTACATATCCTAAATAAATTCATAATTTCTGAAATTCGAAAGTCTTAATTTCTATATCTTCTTACAACTACGTTCCAAAATTCTCAGGTTCTTTTTTTTTTTTTTTTTTTTTTTTTTGGAAAACTCCCTTTTGGATGTTAGAGGTGCTGATACAAGCAGACACCTCTAACACCATAGGGGGACTCCATCTATTGGTGGGGAGTATCACCTGCTGGAAACCGGGTCCAGCGTCCCATGTATAATACAAAATTGCGACTAAAAGACATGGAATAGAGGCTGATATGTTACTAGAAGGCTACAGCCTTGATTACCCTGGGTGACCAGGGGATTGACTGAGAAAGCGTACTAAGATAAAAGTTAAATTATTGCTTGTCAGTTGCTGCCTATCTCCTCAGTCCAGCTGAAATCCTTCCTTCTTGGATGAGGATATTCCTGCCAGCTTGATTGCCAGCGATGATTACTGTAGCCTCCAGAGGTGATAAATTACGGAGAGAACCTCTTCGCCCTGTGCCAGGCGCCAGATACCTGCTGCTGAGAACCTAGTTTCTCCTTCTTTATGTTGCCATCTGTTGCTCCTGTGTTCCTCCGTTTGGGTTGCCGGTTGACCGCTGTAAGCTTCCGTGTCCTGGGTCCACCGTTCGTGAAGGCTGCTTGTGGCAGATCCGCTTGCCATTTTGCTTCTACTGTTGCCCCCTGATCCATTTCTTGATCCTTCCCCCTTCACCCATTCCAGCCCGAACCATTGTGCAATGACTTGCACGAGGCTGTACCATAGTCAGGGGTAGATTCGTAATTTTGTTTGGCTGAGGACTAACCGAGAGACCTGCCTGTATGGAAAATTTGTGAGGGACATATCTGTAAATATAGAAATATGGGCCCCGTACTATTTCGATTTTCCTACAGCTACCCGAACTGCGGATAGCAGACCCGGGCTACCCCTAGGACAGACAGGCCCTATGGGCCTACGCTGATAGAC